CCTCCCCCACCTTGCTTCAATAGTCGCTTGTCTTTTAGTTTCAACTCACATGTGAACTCGTAGCGTCATTCCTGCACTGTCAACACGCCCATGTCCAAGCAAGCGGTCAAGCCCAGTTCATCGGCTTCCATTTGGAGCCCTCGATCCTCCTTCCGATTGGCATGCCTCAATGTTCGCACATTGCTTCAGATCGGTCAACAGGCAGCACTTGACTAAACATTAGAGACCCTCTCGATCGATATCTGCTGCTTATCGGAGATCCGCCTGCAAGACTCGAGCTCTGTATTCACTCTGCGATCCCCCTCAGGTGACACTAACAGCACTTTCTCATTGCGCCTATCCGGTGACGATGCAGCTTCGAGCGCCGGCCAAGCCGGTGTTCGTATTGCCCTGAATCCCCGGGCTGAAGCTACTCTGGTTGATTGGATCCCAATCAGTAGCGGGATGTGTGCGGTCCGATTGGCTGGCTCGTTCAAATCTTCGAAGTCGCGTGGGACTAATAGGTGTCTATTCGTTATCACTGCCTATGCACCTACAAACGCTAGCAATGACTCGGTAAAAGAAGACTTCCATCCTCAACTGTACGTGTTCCTTAGCCACAGAAGAAGCTCGGACGCTGTAGTGTTGGCTGTGGATCTGAACGCTCAAGTTGGGAAATTATCCCCAGATGAGCTGCATCTGGGCGGTCAACATGGTGTACGCTCCCGTAATGATAACGGAGAGCGGTTGCTTCATTTGTGTTAGGATGCTTACTTATTTCTTGCGAGCACTAATTTCCGACACAGCACCCGCCGGAGGGTGACTTGGCGCCCTCCAGCCTCGAATCATCCGTGGACGCAAATCGATCACATTGCGATAAGTTACCGATGGAGAGGCTGCATCCAGAACTGTCGCTCGATTTGGAGCACAGGTGTTGACACCGACCATGCACTTGTGTGTGCTGACCTGCGGATGCGCTTTTGCGGACGCCCACGTCGATGTTGTGCGCGCATTGACACCGGCCAACTGGCGAAGCCCGCTGTTCTGAATGACTATCAAAGTACGCTGTCATGCGAGTTGGATAGACGCTCACTGGTCTAATATTCACCAGGCCTTACTAGCAGCAGGTAAAGCCTCATGTGGTAAGTCTAATCACCAACACGGATATTGGGTCTCTTCACAGTCTCTGGAAGTTATCGATGCTCGCGGGCATATTTCGGCCGGAAGCGAACACAATGAAACTCGCAAAGAGCTCCGGGCGAAACTCCGTGCTAGCCTGGAGAGAGACCGCGAATCCTGGTGGTCTCGTCGTGATTCAGAGGTGGAAATGGGCGCTGCCCTTCGTTAGCATTGTGTTATTCCGCATGATACGGGAAACGAGCAGCAGGAGACCTGGTGTTAGTGAAGGTATGCGTGACGAGAGTGGACAGCCTATCCACAACTTGTCAAAACGCTTGGAGCGTTTGGCTGAGTATTTTGAAAAGCAATTTAATCGGTCGGAATGGTTAGATTTCTCGCCCGGCCACTGATCGCGCCGCTCAGTGCGCTGTCCCTTTGGATCCACCCTCTCGCTGAGAAGTCGAACGTGAGATCGGACTGCTGAAGTTAAATGAAGCCGCGGGACCAGATGATCTTCCTCCATCCTTCTTCAAATTCGGGGGACCTGCTCTTGTGGATGATTTACACGAGCTACTATTGAAACTGTGGGAGCAGGAAACTGTCCTAATTGATTGGAGCCGCTCCGTCATAGTCCCAATTTTTCAATGGCGGCTCACGATCGGGATGCGGTAATTATAGAGGAATCAGTCTGATCTCCATCGCCTCCAAATCGCTTGCCTCTGTCATCCTTCACAGACTGACTGGCACTCGTGAAAGCCAGATTCGTGAACAGCAAGCTGGATTTCGTCGAGGTCGTGGATGCATTGACCACGTCTTCACCTTGCGTCAGTTGTTGGAGCACCGTCACATATATTGGCGGCCCACCGTTGTTGTGTTCCTCGATATCAAAGTTGCATTCGATTCGGTGGATAGACGTTCACTTTGGGACTGTCTACTCAAGCAACGTGTATCTGAGAAATATGTGAATATTATTCGAGCATTATATGCGCGTAGCTCGCGCAGAGTGAGGGCTTACGGCAAGTTGTCGTCACCCTTTAATATCTCCAGCGGTGTGAGACAAGGATGCCTGCTGTCCCCTTTCCTCTTTAACCTCGCTATTGATGAAGTCATGGAAATCGCGTTCACAGAACACGACTTAGAAGGTGGGGATCTGCTCCCAGGAGAACTACTTATTGACTTAGAGTAGGCTGATGATATTGCCCTAATCTGTGACAGCTCACAAACGTGCGAAGTGGTACTGGACAGATTAGCACTGCTTATGAATGGAAGGATTTTGGTGAGTATTTTTGTTCGTCACAATCAGCCGACAATTCAGATATGTCGACCAGCTATCCGGAAATGCACCAGGCGGCCGTTTCGCCCTATTGGGGCTTATCAGTGGTGCGCATCCTTCGGTCCTCTGCGGAGGATCGAACCCATGACTGCTAGTGGCTTTTGCCAACTAGCCCGCAGCTTATGCAACTGCGCCATGGAGGATGGTATCTGACTATCATGAATTGTTAACTAAATGCGATATAGCACTGGCTGTCCGCCACTTCGGGCTTTGCTTCGCACCGTCGAAGTGCAAAGCGTTCCTCCAAGATTGGTTTGGACCGCTTCCTAGGCTGACTCTTGGTGGGGATCAGCTAGAAGTCGTTCAAAAACTCAACTACCTGGGAAGTTGTATCAGGGCCCGTGGGATTGAAGATGAGATCACGAACTGTTTAGGAAAAGCTCGGGACGCTTTTGCTAACCTTCACCACTTATGGCGCCGGCCTCGACATCAATCTTGCCCTGAAGGGTATAGTGTACAATGCAGCAGTACGTTCGACCCTACTGTACGGTTGTGAAACCTGGCCGCTTAAAGCAGCGGACCTGAAGAGGCTAGTTACGTTCGACCACCGGTGCCTTCGCAATTTAGCTCACATCTGGTGGGAACACCGAGTTAGCAACGAGCGTGTTCGACGTCTTGTTTACGGCACAGGAAAAGGAAATAAACCGCTCAGCACCGTTATTTCACGCATCAGACTCCGATGGCTCGGCCACGTGTTACGCATGTCAGCCCACCGACTTCCGCGACGTGTGTTGTTTGCGCGCCGGGGATGTGGATGGAAGAAGAGGAGGGGTGGCCAAGCGATGAGTTGGTTGAGAGGAGTGAAGGCCCTCACTTCCTAGCTGGTCTCAGTTGGAGCGTATCGGCTCCCTGGTTGGGGTCCGAAAGACGATGAACACGTTTGGCTGGATACACTTGCTGATATGGCAAGGAGCCGACCTCAGTGTCGTTCGTGCTGTGAGTTTCTTTGTCCCACCCCATCCCTCTTAGCCTCCCTCTCCAACCACGATCTCACTATTTAGCGTTATATAAATTTGAATGGTATTTTTTGCTGCATACTAGCCGGCTGGTAGCTTACCGGAACGATGCCCATCGGTTACCGGTAGCTCAGCTGGCTTGCCCCAGTTGCATTTTTTCTCTCTTTTCTTCTATGTATTGTGTCACGGTAACTGTGGTGTTCCCCGCGTCTAGCTGACGTGTACGATGATGATGATGACGGCGCTGTCGCTGATTTGTCTCTCACTTCCTGTCACATGTTTTTGATTGCCCATTGTTTACTGAACTTTTGTTATCGCTTCTTGTCTCGTTTAACCTTTAGGTGGTATTTTTCAACCTTACCCCTGCGATACGAGCTTTTCTTCACGAAAGTTGACATGCAACGATGCACTTTATGGGTAGAAGTGCTTTTACTCAGGGACCGCTTTTTTTCCACTTCTTCCACCGTTCTTTGTGTATCTTTGGTAATCAAATCAAAAGACACACAAATTGTTGCAAATAGCTTCCTAGCTTTCCCCATCTCCATCAGTGTGCATCACTTTCGTATGACTGGATTTGTTTGACTGTATCGCTGGCCCATTGTGTGTACGCATTCGTAACACAGACACAGTTGCATCTTTCGGGCATTGGGCTCGTGCAGTATAAACCTCTGCTAATTGCTCGCACGTTCTTACATTCTTGCTGATAGCTTGATCTTGAGTCTGCCTTGCCAGTGCTGACAACGGTCAGTCATCTCTCTGGGCGTTTATTGTTGTCATCGTATCATGTGTGTAGCCCAGTGACCTTTTGTTTGGCTCGGTTGCTCCAAATTGTCAGTCTGAGTTCTATATTCTGGTCCTCTCTGAGGTGGACGAACAGATGTCGGCCAGCACACACATACAATCACTATGTGGTGCCGAATGGGGATCCAGCTTCCCAGATGGAGCTCCAATGCCGATGCTGCACGATTCATTCATCAACTGATTTGGGCGTGCATTCTGGTAGAGCATCCTCAACAAGCTCATTAGGCCCTCATCATACAACAAGAAACTGATCACACCATTGTTATCAGCAAGTCATGTCACCTGAAGCTGCCTGCATACCATTTGATTACCATTATCTTGCCGTTCTGTACAAAACCGTGCTTAATTCACCTGCTTACCCTCCTATGATGCCCGATAAATGGAATGATTTACCCCTACCAGTCAGTAGGGGAATCTACTCCACTCGAATGTCCATTGGAATTGAGATACCACTTTGCACCTTGGATCAGGCCTATGCATTTGTTGATAGAAATCACAGTTAGTTGTCGAAAATTCGGTTCTGTTTATGGGGCATATTTCTTGACGAACCCTGTCTCCCTATATCTAACTCACCACTTGACATTTCTCTTGGTTACTCAATGAATCTAGACATCTATCTTTAAATCTAGACACCCATACACTATCACTGTTGTTTATCAGCATATTCTCAGGCTAGTTAATAAATGTTCATTTGCGATATTTTAAGTTCAACCGACCAACATGTGAAACGCTCGCAAATTTCGTACTTAACTGATTCTGCATGTTCAGACGCGCCCGTGCTTATTTATGCCACTTCTCCATCTCTCATGCAGGAAAATTTGCATTTTCCGATCAGTCATTTCGATGAACACGTCCATGGTGAAGTTCCACTCGGTTCATCCGGTGAAGCCTCCCTAAAATCCCAAGATTTGATGAATTCCGGATCGCAGTTTCCTCGATTTAGGGCGGTTTTCGACGTTTACGGTCAAACCAAAGCTATACAGCTGATCAGCTTGAACCAGGTAAGTATTATTTGACTAGATTGGACATTTATGAACTCTATGTTTTGCTTTCGTTGGCTTTGTGTCTCGCTAGCCCTTCTTTTTCCTATTCTCTCACCCCATTGTAGACACTGGTTGCCACTCTCAGTCGACTGTGTTATTGCGCTATCGTGAATCGTATAATTCAACTGCATTATCGTGGTGTATGTAACGATACGCATCCCGAAAAACCAGCGGATTTTGTCAACAATGTGGATAAACTTATTGTAGCAACTCCCCCGCCGGAATACTCCGCCTCCCGGCTGGCTCATTTGACATCCAATGCACCGGACAACGTGCGCCTGCAGCACTTGATCCACGCGCTAGACAGTCTTCCCCTGCCCCAGTCCGATAGACATCGACTCCAAGCGGACGTGCATGCCGTGATTGTTCGAGAACTGGAAGGCGCGTTGGCCAGTAGTTGTTAACCTCCTTTCCCCAATCCGTTCCCCCATACAGACGTATCGCGTTTTATTGCCCACCACCGTAACTTTGGCAAATTGATATTCCATTTGTGAATTTGCGAAATACAGTGTCTTTCATTCACTTCGCGTTCTGATCTTTATACTACTCTCGATATCTTTACTTGTCTTCTTTGTCCGGGCTACTTTCCCATGTCACCGTCTGTATTTCTGTCTCTTCTTTTGTTACCACTGCCCGATCCCATCAAATGCATTAGCGCTGTTTTTATGAGTACACGATTGACATAAGCCCGGACTTGGGATGCCCGCTGTTGTAGTATATCTCGATTCTTTTTGCTATTTTTCTGTCACTTGTTATCTAACTGCTGGACGATTCTAACAATAGGGACGAGCATGTGATCGCTCAGGGGAGTGGGATGTGATAATTATAATTATAACAATAAACTAGCGGTGCTAATTTATTGTGTTGATGAGATAGTGAGTGCTGTGAACGGGGACCACCAGCTGTGTCACGTACCCCTAGCCAGTGTTTGGGAACAATTCTCTAACCCAGGTGCTCCATTCCAGTGCACTGCATCATTCCATCTTTTCTACCGTTCACAAACCTTGCGAGCCGCGCTGTGATTGTACGCACAGCTTGACTACTGTTTGTCGCAAATTGTACCGGCCAGACTTCATTGATACACGTCCCTCCACCTCAGTCTCAACTTCAGATCAATTTTCCAGTGTGATATACTTGCTTAGTTCTGTTTCTCGAAATCTACCGATTAACCAATCGGATGGTTGAACTTCTCGTCTGTCACAAACCGCGTAAAACATAAATTTCAAAGCAGTTAATTCCCTTCAGCAATTTGAAAAGCACAGTAAGAAGATGAAAGCTGGTAGATGCATGCATTTCGTCTTGTCTCCTCAGTAACATTAACAATAACCGGTATGCAGCTATATACTTACATATGCGTGTGACCGAATAAGCATGAGGTGCAAAATGAATGACGGAAGTTCCACCCCTATGTCCACGGCAATCTTAAGCTGCTAAATAACTGATTTTAAACACACAGGACCGGCTTATCTCAACGGCCTCGGCGAAACGGAGGAAGCGAGGAGTAGGGTGACGTAATACAAGTCTGAACGCTGATCCGAGCTCTATCCGTTGACACGTAGTCAGTAAGTGTTTACCTATTGAGGAAGCTGGCGGCTTGCGCAAGCACGGAACTTCAGTGGGACAGTGATGTTGGTCAATTTTGCGTTGGATCCATCTTGGCACGTGTTGCTTTATTCGGGAAGTCAAAGACTGATTGGTTCTGTCTGTGTAACTGTCTCCGCAGTCGCACATGAATTTGTATATGCAATGTGAGTTGGCCCATATCGGTTGAGCTTCCTTCGTTGGAGACACCGGCAAGTTACAGGTTCTATTGATGACCACAACCTGAGCAGCACAATACCTTCTCTGCATAGCAGAGATTAAACGTTTCGTTGTTTTCAATACAGTAAAGTCACCTTTGAAAAGCAGCTCAATATAGATCTTTTTCTTGGCTGCCGTACGCAGGAAGTCTTTCGGGCCTCGCTGTTGGCTGTGATTCCCTATAAATTCACGTGGATAACCATTTGCAACGAGTGTTGTTGTAATTAACTCTAGTTCGTCGGCTAGACAATCAGCCGAGCAAATTCGTCTAGCACGACTAACTCAAGTGTTCACAAGGGTCCGCTTGTACCGCATTGAGGTGAAGCTGGTGAAGTGCAGGTATTGGCCGGACCAGGTTGCTTTTCTGTAAATAGACCTCTTAATGAGCCCGTCATCCCTGCGACTGATGAGGATGTCTACGAATGGCAGACAGTTCTTCTGTTCCACTTCGCAGCTGACTCGCAAGTTGGTATGTGCACAGTTGAGTTGCTGCGCAAACTGGACAATCTGCTGCTCCGATGAGCAAAAGACCAATATGTCATCCACATAACGCTAATAGTATGATAACTGGGCTATTTCTACGGATATGCCTCTTTCTATCCTCAGCATGGAGAAATCGGCAAGTACAGAGCCTAGTGGGCTACCCATTGCCACACCATCGATTTGACGATATGGGGTGTTCTGAAAGTGGAAGCCAACATTTACTGTACACAGAAGTAAGAATTCCTTTAGAAATTCGACTGGAATTGGTAACGAATAACTAGATTGCTCAGCTATCTCACATATGTAACCAACATTTTGTTGTAGTGGGACGTTGGTGAATAGAGATTTCACATCCAAGGAACACATGATCTTGTCGGAGAGGTTGATGTCATCTAAGTCACCGATACTTTGAAAAGAATCGTTAAGACTATATGGATTGGACAGTTGTCGCAGAGGCGAAAGTATCTTCACTAGCCAGCGAGCCAATTTATGCCGCGGCGCATTTAACATTGATACAATCGGCCTAAGTGATACTCCACTCTTGTGCGTCTTCGGTGACCCGTATAGCTGCGGATTAGTGCTGCCACTTGGCTCCAAACAATTATAGGTCTCACTATCAATCACGCGATGAAGGAGAAGCATTTCAAGATGGGCAGCTGTGCTAGCTTCAACGTCGGCTACGTTCTCCATCTTATTAAGTCGTTCAAATTTGGTGAAACTTCCGTCATTCATTTTACACCTCATGCTTATTCGGTCACACGCATAGTTAAGTATATAGTTCCATACCGGCTTTTGTTAATGGTACTGAGGAGACAATACGAAGTGCATGCATCTACCAGCTTTCGTCTTCTTACTGTGCTGGTTAAAACAAATGTCGGCCAGTGGCCGAGTGGTCCGCACACCTGGCTTGTAAGCATAAGGTCACCGATTTGAATCCGTGTAGGGGCGTGCGTTGTCTCAGTATACTTAGCCTACGCGCGACTGGTGGTGGTCGTGCGGTAGCGAAGCACCGCTACTGTCTACAGCTGACACATGCACTGTTAGATTGCCTACACTTTCTCAACACCCCACATGGACGCAAGCAGGTGTCTCATGTGGAGACAAATCATTTTTCTCTATCTGTCCCTTATAACCTCAAACTTTCTCAACAGACAATTTATCATGCGAATACAAACAGTTAGATTTCCGTAATGCTACACTGTGGCAGTTGTGAACTACTGGTTCCAATTGCGACCCGTACTGTATGCGACCACGAATGAAGTCCACAGAATGACCAGCATCGATCCCAGCCAGGAGGGCCAAGCGGACCAACGGTACCAAACTACTCCATTTTTCGCTATAAAGTCAAACTTGGGCTTTTACTGTCTCTTGTTTACCTAAATGAGATCTTTAGTATGACACTACTTTCTTGTTTGCTCACGACATAAAAATGGTTTGCTCTCACTGATACATAAGGTTTTGCGACACATTCAGGACAATCTTTTATCGCTTGAAACTTTGTCCCACCTGTGACGAATGTCCTTAGCCGCAAACATGTGCAATGTCTTACCGTGTAAGTGTCACGTTCCATCAAACAGCTTTATCCTTCATGGTGTATACATTTTTCAATGCACATCCATCAGTACCTAGGCTTATGATATTCACACACCTTCAGCTTCCCAGAACAGTGTGATTCCCAAAAATCAGACTAGAAAAACCGTTGGACATATTTGTCATTCTTTCTCACTCCGTGCGTCCCGTCTCTGATTATACAAAGTGTACGTACTACCAACCACTTTATGTTGCTTATTGGTGTGCATAAGCATGCGGAAGTCAGAGAAATTGGCTGTCAAGCAAATTCAACATCGATTTACTAGGAGAATAATTGGATACTCCACCAACCTGATTTCCAGTGAGCGCTGTACTTTCCTTGGACTTCAACCCATAAGGTTGCGAAGATTAGTAGTAGACTAGTGTTTTCTACGCAGAATCATATATAACTGTGCTCACACCACAGGGACAAATCTGTGCATGACGCAGAATAACACGTATTCCATACGTAATGTGAGTTGCAAGATCGTAATTTCAAGGACGAAAACAGCAATAATCCAAAACTTCTTTCTCGCTGCATACTCCAAAGATTAGAACAAATGACTCCAAAACATCAAGAGCTGCGGCAAATTACACGAGTTTGAAATATCTGTCAAGAAATATCTCAAATCTATGTTACGCTTATCCCAGCCTTGGGAAACGGTATTCACAAATGATATCGACTTGGCACAGGTGCAAACAGGCTATTTATCGCATCTTGTTACTGCTTGTGGTGGAACAATTATGTCGTCACAATTTGTCTTGCAGAAAATTGTAACATTATTCAACCTTGGAGTATGCTTATATTCATTTATGTGAAAAAAGGCAAAGTGCTTAAACATCGTACAACTATAACTGATAAATGACGAAAACAGAATTATGGAAGCCTTTAGGGGAATATGAGAAGCCCCTCCGTCAGCACTTTTCTAAATCGTGCTGTCCACTGATTCCACCACTCAACACTATGAATGTGGGATACTGACATGAACTTACCGTATAGTACAGCAATGATGTAACACAAATACGTGCATACATACCAACTCCAAATGCCGATGGGAATCCTCTCCGAATTTACATTGAATGACATTATCTCTGAAACACAGCTGTGTACCTGTTAATCAGTCCCTGTGCAGCAAGTCTGGCACCGTCTTAAAATAAAAGATTTATTTTTTAAACCGTTATTCTCTCAAAAGTTATGGCATCCCACCTGTTTATCACTTCCTACCACTTGCTTCATTGTTGTGGACATGCCAGTGATACTCCAACCGAACAGTAACGGTGTTCAATTATCTAAATGTGTCTGCTCTTTTCGAACTGAATTGGTCCAAATTTACTTTCCTTCACGGTTAAGCGAAACCCAATTTTGGCGCCAGAGATGAAACAGCAGCTTCGCGTAGGTAGTTCTGGCTTTTGTAGTATGTGCGTTTATCACATTGCTCACCTACCACTCTCATCTGATATAATCTGGCAACTGTCTATACAATAGACATAGAGCCATCTAAAACCTTGTAATGAATATGCTAAATAAGTATAAAGGTCACAGCATGGAAAA